ACTGTTTCCGCGGTGATGTTTTCTAGAGGCATCACCTCTGGCCAGCGAGAAAATCTGCCCACACAGGTCAACAAGTACGTGAAATTCCGTGAAGTTGGAAGTGGGCCAACGATGTCCAGGTGGACGTTCACAAAGCGTGAGGATGGTAGGGGAAACTTTCCGAGTGGTGTGTGCGTGTGGCGTTGCACCTTTGACTTCTGGCAGGCTATACAAGAGCGAACGAAGTCCCGAATGTCGTCGTTGATCTTGGGCCATACGAAACGGTTCGTTACAAGCTTTTGTGTCGCGCGTATGCCTGGGTGGCAGAGGGAGTGAAGTGAGGTGCACACCGCATGACGTAGTTGTCGTGGAACAAAGGGTCGGGGTTTTCCTGTCGATGTATCGCATACTAAGCTGATGCCGTGATCGGAGAGGGTAACTTCTTCAAGGACGAGGGATGTGCCGGTCTTCCTGAGGGATTCGAGTTCTTCGTCCTGAGCTTGAGCTGCTGCCAGTTCAGTGTAGGTGAACTGTTCTTTTTCTGTGTTCAAAGCATTCAGCTCGAGGCGTGATAACGTGTCTGCGACGGTGTTTTCTTTTCCTTTCACATGGCGGACGTCAGAAGTAAATTCCGCTATGAATGAAAGATGTCGCAGTTCACGTGGGGAATGGTTCTGGTGTGATGACTGCATGGCATAGACCAGCGGTTTGTGGTCTGTGGCGATGAAGAAGGTACGTCCTTCGAGGAAGTGTCGGAAGTGTTTGACGGCTAAATAAGCCGCTAGCAGCTCTCTTCCGAAGGTGCTGTACTTCCTCTCGGAATCTTGAAGTTTACGTGAGAAGAACGATATGGGAGACCATACATCACTGATCTTCTGCTGCAACACTCCTCCGACAGCGATGTCCGAGGCGTCGACCATGAGGCACGTTGGGGCATCTTGAGACGGATGCACGAGGAGTGTGGCGCTGGTGAGCTCTTTCTTCACGTCCTCAAACGCAAGCATTGCCTCCGGGGACCATGATAATTTTGACTTCTCGCCTTTGGAGGTAGAAAGCAGTGCCTCTAACGGCTGTAGAAGGTTGGCGCAGTGGGGAAGGAAACGCCTGTAAAAATTTATCAACCCCACGAATCGCCGGAGGGCATGCTTTGTTGTAGGCTGTGGACAATCAGTGATAACTTTGACCTTGTCTGGAAGTGGCCGGATACCTTGAGAGTCGATGTGGTGACCAAGGAATGTTAACTCCGGTACTCCAAACTGGCATTTATCAACGTTAATGACGATGCCATACTCTCGCAGCCTGTCGAACAGCGTGATCAGGTGGTTCTTATGTTCCTCCGGATTTTTGCTTGCTACGAGGAGGTCATCCAGGTAGGCAAAACAGAAAGGTAAACCACGGAGGACCTGGTCAATAAATCGTTGAAAGGTTTGGGCCGCATTACGTAGACCAAATGGCATTGTGACAAACTCGAAGAGACCGAAAGGTATCCGGCCACTTCCAGACAAGGTCAAAGTTATCACTGATTGTCCACAGCCTACAACAAAGCGTGCCCTCCGGCGATTCCTGGGGTTGATAAATTTTTACAGGTGTAAAAATGTAGGTGAGTGGTCGCGTCAACCAACATCTTGGTGGCTATGGCACACAAGAGGCTGGTTGACGCGACCACTCACCTACAAGTTTCCGGTGTGGCGTCCCGAACTCCAACTCTTAGCCCCACCTACATCAAGCCTCCTTCCAATACATTTGCCAGCCTGCTCGAGAACTATCCAGACCTCACCAAGCCACGCAACATCAGCGAGATGCCTAAGCATGACGTCACGCACCATATAGTGACAACCGGCCCACCTGTTCATTGCCGATCACGTCCGGGTCACCAGTTATGTGGGTACCAGTCAGGTGGCACTCAACATATTTTATATACAATATTTACAAGAAAACCGTAACAGTAGAAAACATCGTCCGATCTAGCCGCCGGTCCGCTCGGTCGCCGAACCGCAAAGCTCGTGTCTCGTGGTCTGTTCCCGTGCATCTCAGCTTCTTTTCTCTCGCTCCAGTGGTACAGCTGGCACGGCTGCTACAGCCTCAACCCCAGACCATATAATAAAAATTCGGGGGAAGCCTATCCCCCTTCTTTTCTACTATCACCCCCTCCCCCCCCCCCTTTCCCCCAAAAATCGTGAAAAGAGGGGCAAGGGGCATAAAGGCCACAAAAGAGAGAGGCCAATGGCCTCAACCCCAGACCATATAATAAAAATTCGGGGGAAGCCTATCCCCCTTCTTTTGTACTATCACCCCCTCCCCCCCCCCCTTTCCCCCAAAAATCGCGAAAAGAGGGGCAAGGGGCATAAAGGCCACAAAAGAGAGAGGCCAATGGCCTCAACCCCAGACCATATAATAAAAATTCGGGGGAAGCCTATCCTTCTTCTTTTCTACTATCACACCCTCCCTCCCCTAAAATCGTGAAAAGAGGGGCAAGGGGACTAAAGGCCACAAAAGAGAGAAGAAATGGCCTCAACCCCAGACCATATAATAAAAATTCGGGGGAAGCCTATCCCTCTTCTTTTCTACTATCACCCCCTCCCTCCCCTTCCCCCAAGAATCGTGAAAACAGGGGCAAGGGGACTAAAGGCCACAAAAGAGAGAGGAAAGGGCCTCACCCCCAGACCATATAATAAAAATCGGGGGAAGCCTATTCCCCTTCTTTTCTACTATCACCCCCTCCCCCCCCTTTCCCCCAAAAATCGTGAAAAGAGGGGCAAGGGGCATAAAGGCCACAAAAGAGAGAGGCCAATGGCCTCAACCCCAGACCATATAATAAAAATTCGGGGGAAGCCTATCCCCCTTCTTTTCTACTATCACCCCCTCCCCCCCCCCCTTTCCCCCAAAAATCGTGATAAGAGGGGCAAGGGGAATAAAGGCCACAAAAGAGAGAGGCCAATGGCCTCAACCCCAGACCATATAATAAAAATTCGGGGGAAGCCTATCCCCCTTCTTTTCTACTATCACCCCCTCCCCCCCCCCCTTTCCCCCAAAAATCGCGAAAAGAGGGGCAAGGGGCATAAAGGCCACAAAAGAGAGAGGCCAATGGCCTCAACCCTAGACCATATAATAAAAATTCGAGGGAAGCCTATCCTTCTTTTCTACTATCAACCCCTCCCCCCCCCCCCTTTCCCCCAAAAATCGTGAAAAGAGGGGCAAGGGGCATAAAGGCCACAAAAGAGAGAGGCCAATGGCCTCAACCCCAGACCATATAATAAAAATTCGGGGGAAGCCTATCCCTCTTCTTTTCTACTATCAACCCCTCCCTCCCCTTCCCCCAAGAATCGTGAAAAGAGGGGCAAGGGGACTAAAGGCCACAAAAGAGAGAGGCCAATGGCCTCACCCCCAGACCATATAATAAAAATTCGGGGGAAGCCTATCCCCCTTCTTTTCTACAATCACCCCCCTCCTCCCCCCTCCTCCCGAACTATTTCTACGGTACTTCCTGAGCCCTAATTGTTTATTTGCTTTACTATTTTTTTATTGTTTTACGGTATCCCCGGTAGCGTTGTTGACAGTGGCGGAAGATGAGCTCCAAACCTGCGTACACCGCGCACGGCTTCACAATATCACGAAGTACAATCATCGCCTCGATTCCAAGGCGACTTCGGCCTCAAATAGCTCCCTGCCAAAGTTGCGAAACGGCTCTTCTTCGTCACCGACAGCTTCCACAAACGACGATCTTGCGACGAGAAAATGTAGAGTATTCAAGGCCCGCCTAGGGGAAAGCTAAACAGCATCGGCTCTAACGCGGCGTAGGGATGTAGGAACACATGGGCGCAACGTCATCAGTGCAGACGTTCAATCGGCTGGCCCCATGGTGTTGCTCGCGCGATCTCCGATGGAGCTCGCTGCGACTTCGTATTTCCCAATTTCGATGGGATTTGAGCAGCGAGAGTGTTTAGATGATTGACATGTCGTCCCGCGTGACGCCGTCGTCGCGGAAGGTTAATCATCACGTTCCGCGAACTTCGGCCCCAACGTTGTGCTTGACGAGTTTAGCGACCCGGGCGTCACAGTCGAGTGATTGTTGTAAAAATCATTCGACGAGTCATGAGGTATAGCAAACCACGCAGAATTAGCATAAAAATACATGTGTAAAGCTTTCGAGAAAAATAAAAAAGCGCTCTAGTCTTCCATTTTATATATATATATATCTTGAAACACGATCATTACGAAAGTGAGTTTAAAGTTCTCTTCAGTGTCCTTTAAACGTATTCGCTCGAACTGCTTTCAAAGAAAGAATCCTCAGAAACGCCGCGGTCTCGTCGACGCTCGGGACGATGAGGGAGCCGATGTGGCTAGCAGAATGGGTGGCGTCTCTCGTTGGCTTCCCAGTCTGGTCAGAGGGAAGAGAGCTAATAAAGTCTGGAGACTGTTCAGAATGATCTGCGTGAGTCAATCTTCATCCACGCGCAACTTTAGAGCTTCCGCGGGCTAATTTCACGAGCTATGTCCTCTTAAACTTGAAAGAGTGTAGGACCGCCCATCCTCCCAGCATAATCATATTTAGCTACAGCTAACGAAAACCAAACGTCTATTTCTTTGGCAGGGAGAATATGCCAATAGATAGGTTTAATTAGGAAGTTCCTTTTGAAGAATATCCGTTATTATAGTACGTTTCATCCCAAGGAAGAGCGAAGCCGAAACAAAGCACGCATCTCACTGTTGTGGCCTCTGTAATATTCTTTTCAAAACGAAATGGCGTATCGATTTGTGATTTTTTTAAACTAGAGTAACGCGAACTAACTGTGCTGAGTAACATGAACTACCCTCCACAAAATATTAAGATATTATTTTATTGTATAATAATAAAGTGCACACCAAGATTTAATTGTTCCTTAACTTGAAAAGCGTTTGACTGATGAAGCCAGAATAAGCATGAATATATAATTTTTTTATATTGCTCAACACATAGGTCAATATTCATGGCAAGCCAAGTGTTACTTATAATCATCGCCCGCAGACGCACAGACACCTGATCATGTTGTGGTTGAAAGTGAAGTGCGCACCGGTTGGCTGCTCCAACGGGCGCAGAAACGTTCGCGGTAGCTGTTGAGAACCTCTTCGCTGTCCTTCCCAAGAAGCACAAAGGCCCTCTTGGAAGCTGAGTACGCTGGCCATGAAGTCTTGTTTGAGAGCGAAAGCCTCCTGTCGTTTAGAAACCATATGAATGTAAATCTGTTATTGACATATAAAAAAAGCCATAAAACCCATAACGTAGAAATAAAAAAAAAAACAGAGATGTTCTTGACTTGTACGATATAAAAGGTAATGCCATCATACACCTATATGTTCTAAATATTTTGATCGTACTATTAAAATATGTTATACGTCGTGATAACATTTATGTGCCTGTTGTCTTATTAATCGACCATAAAGTAGATCAACGTATGCAAGCAGTGATCACGTAAAACTATAATTCCGATGGTGAATAAAAGGTAAAATGTCGAGACTGACCCTGTCTTGGCGAAGGTAGTCCAAGCGTAGATGATTTTCTTGCTTAGCTTCAGCATTTGTTTTGGTGAGGTAGCCAACTCAAAGGGCAAACCGAAAAGAAGGCTTTGATCCAGTTCAGCGTCGCCGAACCGCGGCCATCTGGGATCTTTCTTTAAGAGGAAATAAAAGACTCGACGATGTCTTTTGGACAACTCATCCGCCAGGAACTGTAGAGGACATCGGACGACGAAGTCTCCTACAAGGTTGGCCATGGCGACGCTCCTGTTCACAGCGCTGAAGACGTCATACGCTGCCATAGCGGCAAGAGGGTTCGGAACGCCGTACATCCGCAGGATTCTAGAGCCGAAAGAACGCATCGTGCTGTTCATGACACCGTCTAAGGATACTCTCAACGACGAATGCAAGAGATCCTCGCCAACGTCCAGCTCACTGCCGAGCAAAACATCACGCGCCGCGTACGTCGCAGACTGGGTAAGACCGACCGGCATCGGAAACGGCAACAGCTCATCCTCGTCACTTGGAAGCATCCTATACTGTGCCATGTTGTTCATGTTGACGTAATCATACATCTCTGCACGAACCAAGCAGTGGGTCATTTGAACGACGTCGCCTCGCTGGCAGTTCATCCTTTGGGCTAATGTTTTAAAGTTTACTAGGCTCTCAAAGCCACGGTTACTAGGCAAAATCCAGAAGGGCGATCCACTCAGAAGGATGTAGCGCTTGACCAGACCTCGAGCCAAGGGTGATACCATGACGTATCCTGCAAGGACGGCTCCGGCATCCCGCCCGACTAGGACAATCTGCTCAGGACTGCCTCCGAAGTGCACGATGTTGTGGTATACCCACTGGAGAGACAACAGGACATCATGAGCACCAACGTTTCCAGGCGCGCTTGGTATATGTCCCTTGAGGAAGCCGAATGCGTTCAGGCGATAGTTAGGCACCACGACCACCACATCTCCCTCGGCGCTCAATCGCTGGCCGTCATTGAAAGGTCGATCGTTGCCTCCAGTTTCGAAGTAACCACCGTGAAGGAACACGAGCACCGTTCTCTGTTGCGAACTGTCCGAAGGGGTCCAGATGTTGATGTGAAGGCAGTCTTCGCTTACATTGACGTCGAGCGACGGTTCCTGTGGATTGTTCCAAGGCTGGCGCTGCGGACAGGGGAAGTTCTTGCGAAACGCCATGATAACGTCGTCTGTTGAGTCCGAAGAGACATGTTGTCTAATTGGCACGGGTTTCTTGAAACGTAAGTCTTTGACAGGAGGCTCAGCGTACGGGATGCCGTAGAAGGCGTGCAGCTTGCGCGAACCGACGGTGAGCACGCGGCCACTGAAGATTCGGTCTTGCAGGCGCACATTAACGTGTGGAATTTCGTCTTCAAAATTAACGTCTAAGAGGCTTCGCCGCATGTTTGACTGAACCTGAATTTGTGAGGAACGTTTGCTCGTGAAGAATATGAACATCAAGACCACTGATGACATCATGGGGATGAACAGCACCCTGAAAATGAAAGCGACCACAAATATTTGTTTTGTTTTGCTAAACCCGTTATTATCGAACACTCCATTAATATGACAAATCATTTCATTTCCCGCAACGATATATTAGGTAATAGAAATTCAGTTGCATCGGCCACATCATCTCAGTAACCGTCAAAACCAGAAACCTATAAAAAGAAAAAAAAAGGATTGGTTTAGGTTACACCGGACTTTTAACTTAGATACTTTTCGGGAGTAACTTGTACTCACTTGTAAAGCTACCTTTAAGTTGCTTCCACCTTTTTTGTCAAAAGAAGGTAAAAAAAAAAAAAGCTAACTTCAGTTTCTTCGCTCTGCAGCGGGAGCCCGGAGTGCTCCCGTTCAAATATTCCATCGATTTTTTTTTATTTATTTACATGAATACCTGCAGTGCCGTTAGGCTTTATGCAGTGGGGTACAGGAAAATATTATGCAATAACAATGCGTATTCATACAATAGATAAACAGAACAACAATAAAACATACATCATTAATCGCGGAGACAGATTTGCAGTTTATTATAAAAGAGATCATTATCAGTAATAGATACAATTTCTTTTCTAAGTGTATTCCACTCTATAATGGTTTGAACAAAAAATGAAAATGAAAAACAGTCAGTATTGTAACAAAATTCCTCGGCTTTTTTAGAATGATCTCGTCTTGCAGATGCATGGTGTGGTTCAAAAATGTAACTTTTTTCAATACCAGTCCGCCCGTAGTATATGCTGTAAAAGAATTTCAGTCTCAAGCACTTTCTTCGCTCTTTCATTAAATCCTAAACAAAACTGTTTTTCATTTTTGTACAACTTGTATAAGGGTTGTAGTCACCTGGAACTAACCGTAATGCCTGGTTTTGAACCCGTTCCAACTTTAGTTCAAGGTAACTTTGTGGCGGGTCCCATATGACACAAGCAGATTCTAAAATTGGTCGAATGAAAGAAAAATATAATGTTTGTTTTACACTGCGAGACATAGTTTTAGAATTCCTGCGGATAAAATACAACATTTTACTAGCCTTAGCAACAGTGTTATCCACGTGATCCTTCCACTTCAAGCTGGATGACAAATGAACTCCCAGGTACTTATAATTTGCTACACTGTCAAGTATCACATTTTTCAGGGAAAAGGAGGAGGAGACGAGGAAAGAAGGTTGCAGGGTGAGGGCAGGGGGAGGAGGTGAAGGAGAAGGACGGGGAGGAGGAGGGGAGGAAATTTAAGTATGAGGGGAGGAGGAGAAGGAGGAGGAGGGGTATACCCTCCCCTCATTACCTTTCCCTCCTCCTCCTCAAGAGCTGCGCTCTAATTTGGTGCTACAGGGAGTTGAAAACGGCTTTCACTTTTTTGTTTTGGGCACAAGTTCACCCCATTAAACGTTTCAGTTTCCTCGGTTATTCTTTGTTTCATCGCCTTTTCATTCGTGACAATATAAAAAAAAACAGAAAGACAAGCTGCCGTTTTCCGTTTTCAATTTCACTTCTCTCGTCGTAATCAGGAGGCCGCGTATAGTCCGGACTCCCGAAGAGCAGCGCGCCTACGAAGAGCAACGGCGGGAACGGCAACGAGAATGTTAGCGGCGGCGGCAGGCGGACCACCGATGAAGATCGTGAACAAAACGCCAAGCGCATGCGGCAAACCAGACAAGACGACGAAAGTCGCGGGGCGGAGACGCGGGTACCATGCTGCTAAACTGGACAACTTTATTGGAGCATACGCTAAATTCAAAAGGGACTCTCTGGGCAGACAGTTTTATGTGTAGTTGTAGGGTGTGTGATCGGCTGTGGTTCGACGGCGACTTGACCAACATCGGCAATCTGCGGAATCCTGCAAAGCGGACTCGTGCGCTGCAAGTGTTGTCGGTCACCACTTGCACGTGATCGATGACCACCAATCAAGACAATAAATCTGTTCGTACCTTTGTTCAAAATTCTGTGTCACGTCTGTGTCGTGTGCTAAACAGCTTCGCTGGTCATCCCCCTTACAAAGTGGAATGGCTCATGATTTTATTCATTACACCAAAGATAATCCTCCGACGAAAGCAGGGGCGGGAGCAGGCTGTCCGACGAAAACTTCAAGAATCAGCTGTTCCTTCGAGTGAATAAACCTTTTTGGTAAAGGCGTTTTTTCTATTTTATTTTATTTTCAAACAGCTCTGTGACTGATTGTCCTAACCATTTATAACTTGAGAGTAACTTGGAAGTAACGAGTTACTTTCCTAAGTATTTAGTACTAAACTCAAATATTTCTTTAAATTTGTGTATTTAGTACTCTACTCAGTTACTTTTTAGGCTGGTATTCAGAAACTTATCTTAAATACTTTTGTTTGTGTGTCTTGTACAAGTCTGTGTTACACTGACAGGGTATTTACGCTTGCCGAGGCTTTTATTTGTACATGCCCAATTAGAGCCCAACTGCCCAAAACACAATTTTTGGCTCGAAATTCGTTTTTTTTTTTTTTTTTTCCGCCCGAAAAGAGCTGGTCGGGAGTGGGCCGGTTTCATTCCCGCTTGCTCTCTTTTCCATGGTCACGTGGCGTTCAAGCGATGCGTACTAAATATATTCAAAGTCGTCGATCTTCTAAGGCACACATTCAATATTAAAAATGAAAAACGATATGAACCACCACTTTGGTGGTCCCCAAAAAACTGCAAATACGTTGATCGAAAAAACAAAAGTTACACAGATTACAAGTACATGTAGACGTCCTCCCCAATATGGCGACGTACTGTGGGCTGGGTGACGCGACGGCGGCGCACGACGGACCAAATTTGCGACGGATGTGGGACCGTTACTATGGTGCCTGGAACGCGTCTCCGACTGGTGTGTTTACCGGGTTCAAAAAAGTGGTCCCTCGATTTCCACCTGATGACGTCATAGAAGTGTCATGTTGTCGCCTGTTGCGACCCTGGCGGCGCCCCAACAGTTGTGGTATAAGTGGCAGACGCCTGTTCTGCTGCAGGTCGCTTTCCACTGTGACAGTTCACGGAAGCTGGAGCAGCCGGAAGTTGGGACGCCTAAAGGGACGCCATGACGAAAGCGACACTCGCGTTCGCTCGTGCTTTTCGCCAGCATTTCTACGGCCAACCGCCAGGATCGCGACAGGCAACAGCATGACACTCACGTCATTTGTTGCCACATTGGGACCACTTTTGATGTATGGGCGGGATAGGACGCTAAACACACCAGTCGAAGACGCGATCCAGGCACCATACCGTTACATCGGAACTGTCGTGCGTGGCACCGGCCATTCGGTCTTCAAGCGCAGTACATCGAGCGGAAGGGACATAAGTACGGATTTCGTGTTTTCGGAGTTTATTTCTCGTGTAATTCGAAAGGTGTTGTTCGGAGTTTATTTTTCACTACAAATTTAAGGTTATCGAGTTTTTTTGTTTTTTTTTTAATTCCCAGTTTTCTAGAATTTGAAATTGAAGCTTACGGTGTTCCCAATTTTTAAAACTTCAAAAACAAAATCAATGAGGTCCGGGGACAATGACCCATTGTACAAAAAAAAAAAAACTTGAGGTACTAAAAAGGCAAACTCCTCTTGTCAGGAGCTAGAGATTTTAAAGGAAACTAAAATGTCCCCACCTCAGGACCACGGACCTTGTCCTCTTTTAAATTTTATCTGTAAAACACCATTTGTGTTGTTTTTTTTTTATGACTTTGAAATTTGGAGTTTTAGGATAAATACGAATCGAAGGAGAATTTAGCGGCAAGTGTTTTTCGGATTTTTTTTTTTTTTTTCAGATTTATTCGAAAACACGGAGCCATAACTGTCAGTGCGAAAGAATTGCACAACAAATGATGAAGGCAACTCGTATTCGTCGTCGTCTGCTTCAAATACCGAAAAAGCGGAGAAAGAAAAACGTGGTCGGGTATAGCCACGTGACTTCCGGCCATGAGCTTCCGTACTCGTGTTTCGGTTTCGACGTTGAGTTATTTTGACTTTATTAGAAATATACGCAACTCTGAAGCAAAATATCGATTGGGTAGTCTTCTGACGCATTAAATTGCCTAACAAAAAAAATCTTTCGGGGCGTCAATAGAGAACTTAGGTCCGCTGAGAGAAAAAATATATAATCTAAAAATCTAGATTCTTATTTGGTTATATAATAAATCTAGTTTGACTGCAGCAATACATAGAAAAAGATATGCGCGAGCTTGTATTTTTACTTCGAGAAAAAGCTGACTGAGTGGCTATCAGCTATCGGACAGAACAAACTCGCCAAGTGGCTAGCGCTGCAGCTAGCGACTTCTATCCAATAGCCTGCGTTCTGGCGTGACGTCAGAAACATGATTTCGCGGAGCACGTGCTGTATCCTACTTACAGCCGCCTGGAAAACATTTTACAACAATTATTCAGCGGTGTTTCTTCAGCCGAGTGAGTGATCCAAAATCATGCGACTAGTCATAAAGACAGGAAGAATATAGACATTTCAATTCTCGGTTTAGTCTTTGAAAACAACTTTTAGCAACAGAAAAGGAACACTTGTTCAAGTTTTTATATAAACACGCCCTTATTCCCGAACCCCCGGCAACCGCAAAGTTCATGGATAAGAAGAAAATGCTTAAGAAACCTCACTGACTTCTTTAAACCTCCTGTTGTTGTTGGGTTGTTGCTGTTGTTGTTTTTTTATCTATATTTTATTGTTGCTCTTTGGCGAGAAAGATTACAGCGTTTTATTAGGCGACACCTCTGCATGGGATTTTTTTTTACACGAAATCTGTTTATTGGCCGGATTTCGTGCAAATATCGCGTTATACGTATCGAGTTTATCGAAAATTACACGCAGGCCAATGAAACGTAGAGCATTCACAGCTCCCACAGCCGACCATGACAAAACATAGAAAGCATACTTGGCAATAATTAATCCTATCGAATCCTGATAAATCATCATTTACTTTGTAATTGTTCATATTAACAACCAAGTTGCGATAGTCTTAGAGCACACGTAGATTTCGCACACACGTACCATTTCGGAACCGTTCTCCCGCTTTCTGCCTCACTTTCCGTTTCACTTTGTTCCTCCTCCAGGCTTCTGTAACAGAGATTTCGGAAATCAAAAACCAAAAAGGTCCACATGATCAAGGAGGGATGTCCCAAAAACAAAACAAAAAAAAACAAAAAAACGTAGGCATTTTTTTATTATTATTTTTTTTTTTATGTCTCCAGATGTCAGTTTTTGAGACCTTCCGCGGTGTTAAAGATATATACATTTTCGCTAAATGGTGGCCAAGTAATAGATTCTCAAACATTTTAGTGAAAAACCCGAGACTGAGGTAAAACAGACGACGACAAGGAAGAGAATGTTTAATATACACCAGCTCACTTGCGCCCTTACGTTATACTCATTAATAGATTCTCAACTTTCATAGAAACTACAAAACGAATCTGTTTTCGTTTCAATGTGCTGTGCAGAAGAAAAAGCGGTGCTGTGTTTGTGCGGTGCTTCGCCGCATACTCCGTCCAAATGCGGTAGCAATGACGTTGGTAGTCTTCCAAGAAGGCTTGCTTCTCTCCAGCATCTCTTTGGCACGTGGAGCCAGTCGAGCAGTCATACGGCCATACTTCAGCACGTCGCCGCTCCTGTTCAGTTATCTCCTCTTCGGGAGGAAGATGGAGGAGACGAGAGCTCGCGGGGAAGGTGGGGGACCGAGCTCTAACTGGAATGATTACTGGGTAGACTCAAAGTTGACGAATATTCGAATTCACGCACGTTGCATTATGGGACGTTTACCCGCTAAATTTAGCGGGAAAATTGACGTCACCTGACGTTAGCATCAAATCAGTTTCCCCGCTGAATTTAGTGGGGAAAATGACGTCACAACTTTGTGTCACATCATCGATGAACAAATTCAGTGGCAGGAGGAGAGGAGGAGAGGGTACGGAGGAAGAGGAGGGCATACCCTCCCCTCCTCCTCCTCAAGAGCTGCGCTCTAGTTTCACATTACAGACATTTGTAAACGTCTTTCATTTCTTTCTAAGCTACTCAAGCACCAAGGAGCATGCTGCCAATGTATACACAGACCCTTCTCTTTCCAAACGCCACCAGGCTGCGCTCCAGTCTTTGATATCCCAGCACAAAAATAATGAACAAAGCCTACCTTAACAGATGTGCTCGAAACGTAAATGAGACATTGAACTACCAATTCTTTAGGCGAACGAAAAAAAGAACCAAGAAGTCCGAGATCTGTTCGAATTTTTCGAATATTTTTGTAAACCAACCACTCCATCTGGGAATGCCGTCACCCCCTCGGTGAGGGTATCACCCCCATTCCTTCCCCCACCTTTTCCTCCTGGGAGGCGGCCCTTTCCGGCACAGAGCTCCATGACCAGCAGCGACTGGTTGAGCGAGCCCGCCGAATCTGGGCGGCCAACGGAGCCCTGGACAAAGGGCACCGACCAGAGACCGCAAGGTCCTTTCACTTTATCAATTAATAAAGTTTATGATGATGATGATGATGATGAACTTGTCTCCTCCAAGAAGTAAAATCGCATAGCCGAAGGCCCTCGCTCGATATCCAACCTTGTTATCCCAGCGGCGTGTAGCATTTATGCGTTATATCACTGGTGACATAAGCGAGTTCGAAAGGCTTGCAAAGAGTGAGAGACCGGAAATCGCTTAGGACGCGAACAGTGGGTCATTATCGTGACCAGTAAAAGGGTGTACCTATACACTCCGTTTCATGCTTAGCATACAACGCTGGCAAAGCTACTGGCGCCAGCGCGTGACTTCGTCTATGGTTTCGTTTGCACAAGAACGCGTGCAAATGATCTGTAAGAGCAATCTTCATGCTCGCGCCAGCAGCTTTGACAGCGTTGTACACTAAGTGTGAACATATTATAGGCTTGAAACGATCGCAAGAACACTACCAACATTATCGAACCCTTTTATATACGCTTTCATTTTGATATAGGGAGTATTCACTGGACGCCATATTTGTGGGTGCAGTTTAGAGCGCATGATTGATTGAAACGTTTATTTAATTTCCATGCCTCTGGTCTATGGAACCTCATGTGGCATGGGGGAAGGGGGAGTGGGAGAGGGGTAGTGATGATGGTGATGGATTAGACGTACCGTCCGATCCCGGAGGACCGGAGGTAGGAGGTCATTGATGTGAAGATGAGATCTCGTTCTGCGGGTGCTGAGGCTCTCGGATGCGTTCATTCCCGAGGGGTCATTGGTCTAAGGTGCGGTGGTAAGGTGTTAATTGCCGCTATCCGTTCGAGTTACGTCCCTTCACACGACCATAAAAGATGGCAGCAAGTCGCAGAAACACCGCAGTGTGGACATCCAGGGTCAGGACCTGTGTCATTCACATCTGTTGACTTGTAGAACTCCAAAAGGGAGTCACCGTAGTCCGAGTCTGGAGCCTGTGTAGTGCCATGCTCAGAGCAAGCTCACACTAGTAGGCTGCTAAGACCGTCACTCTCGACGGTGTGGAATGCACGTTGCAAAGTAACTGTGGAAGCTCGTCATCAGCACGCGCTCAGCAGTCGCGCGCACAGCTATGGCTGCCAGTGAATACTCCCTATAGAAAGTATTCGCCGGCGGCCATAGCTGTGTGCGGCTGCTGAGCTCGTGCCGACGGCGATCTCCCGTGGTTCTTTTGCAACCTCCATTCCGCACAACCAAGGTTGGCAGTCTTAGCAGGCTATTTAAGGAACCATGAAGCGATTTTTCTACTTTCGCTAAATACTACTTAGAATCACTCCCTAACCTTAATAACTGCATAAACTTGCCTTAGTTTTTCTTTCTAGGCAATAACAGTCGCCAAGGAAAAAGAGTACAGAAATGTGAGCATCGTTTATCTGTTCACCCCCTCAACCCGGAGCCAGAACAGGCGGCCACGTGGCCTGGTGCCTATTCTATGCCGTTAACGTTAATCATAGCTACGCGCTAGGGTTGGCAAAGAGAAAACACGTGCTGAGCTCCAGGAATAGACCGATCTCACCAAGCGTTCCACACATGCGTGACGCCGCCATAACTGTAGTTCATAGGAGGCAGACGCCAGTTTACGAGAGAGCTCATGCCGCCTCGTGCTCTTCTCGCGCACACCTCCAGCAGGGTTGTCGCGCGTGCAGAAAGACTACAGCTCCTACGATGCTTGGCGGCAGCGGTGGCGTACTCAAACTAGCTGTGAGATCGGTCTATTGTTAGAGTTTGACTACTTTTATCACCGCAGTGCATGGTTGGACACGAGCCATTCCCCGAGTGTCCGCCGAGGCATTAATTGTTACGAGCCGAAGTCGAGTGCTCACGCATTTCTTGTATCCAGTCCATAAGCCGCGCTCGACTCTCATCAGGCGGGTGGTTTCAGTCCAAGTTTCAATCCCAGAATTATATCATCAAGCTTCTGTGAAGGAAAGACTGAAAGAAATAGTCCCCTTTTATCTTCGCAATCTCACCGCGACAAAGAAGCTTCTGAATCAGTGGCGGTCTGGGCGAGTATACCTGGGCCAGACTAGTTACCTGCAGTACGCCTCTGCAAAGTCATGAACATTCCAACCCGATATCGTTTCATGACCCCTTTGATGTGAGCTCGTTCTGAGCATACGTTCTAAACATCGCCCAGTAGATTTTGTGGGCGCGTTTAGTTAAGTATTAGATTTATATAATTTATTGTGCATTTTTGTTTATCTCCTGTGCCTCTGAGGGGACAGAAGACCCGTCAAGCTGCTTGTACAGCTTTTTTCTTCAGCTCCCGCCATGATTAATGGCAAATAAATCTTTTACTTTTTTTAGTTACAAACAGGTTATAGTTACATCCGCTACACGTGCTGGCTTCTGAAGCAGTAAGAGTTCTAAAGCAGAAATCTAAAACAAATGGCACTTTGCACGTGCCTTTCTTAACGCCCTATCTTGGTTCTTTACATTAATATTTTTATGCAGAAAGGGCAAGCGCGTGCTGCCACGCGTATACTTACGTTTCCAACATTCTCCTTGTTGTTTGGTAGTTTGGCGAAGGGTTTTTCAAAGCGAGATGCCTATTTTTACTCCCTACATAGATGTGTTAGTTTTCTTGTGCCCAACTAAATGACATATATCAGTTAATATGTGGCTTTTGTATGTGTTTTTTTCTGGTGAGCTCGTGCTGCTTGTGCGTTTCTTTTTGTCGTGTCAAAAACGGTAAACCTAACGCAGTCAAATTCACAGTGAACAATGCTTTTGACTGAGCACGCATTACAGGTTTCAACAAACACAGCCGTGGCGAACAGTAAATACATATTAGGGAGGACAGGCAGTAGAATCACTGTTACTTCGCCAAACGAAAACTGCGCAGTCCAGTATGCCTAGTGGAACGATGCCACGTGAAATACGAAATATCAGTGAAGCAGCATGTCCTGCCCAGGCGGGATATACTTACTCCATACTGTCTGTCGTTTCCGGGCTGTAAGCTTGACTTTCCATGACGTATGGCAAGACACAGAAAGCTTGCTGAAGAATCGTTACCTGCACGCTGTACGAAGAGCTGACGTTGTGTTCCAACCTGCTCTCCTGAATAGATGAAACAAGTAGCACTGAATACTGTGTCAGAGTACCGCGTTCCCATTCTTTAATGCTTTCCCAACAAAATTCTTACTCTAGCCAAGTATGTTTTGATTTTCTACAGCAGGATTGGACGGCTGCTGTCACGTGATACGTGTGCCGTCACTATCATCGTCACTGTTTCGATTCGCCGCCATGGGACACTATAATGTAGCAAGCCAGCTTCTGCTGCAACGCTACGGGTCGCTTCACAGAAACTTAGTGATGTGACGCATTGAAGGATTGGTGGCCGGAGCATTCTCTTTTCGAACGCTGAGGTGAACTCATGTGGAATGTCTAGGCTGCACAGGAGCGGCTTCAGCGGCCCTCAGGGGCCGCGGTAAAAGGTCTGAGGAGGAGTCACAGGATTACACCATAATGCTGCCATCACTGCCAACCGGGTCAGTCTTTTTAAATACTGTCTTTCTGCATGCTGACGTGAAGGTGAGGCCATATCGCGTCGAAGATTTTCGAGACGAACTGCGTCGCCAGCCCCTGCTGGCCGATGTCATTGCTTTAGGGGCACATCAAATGAATCATAGAGGGGAGCGAC